AATGCTGAAATTCGTACCTTGTCTAGTGGTCCACTTTACCAGGTTGCTCAGGGTTGCCTTAGGCAGGGAATACCGGGAAATGTCAGGGAATTTTAAATAGTCAGGGAAAACCTGGAGATATCAGGGAATTTTAAAAAGTCAGGGAAAACCATGAAATGTTGGGGAAAATGACGAAATTGTCAGTGGAAAATTGTTTGGTCGCCTTCATTCGATTTCCAGAATGGGCTTAACGTTCCGAACAACACATTTTCCCTGCAAACTATTTATAATCGTGTCTTTTTAACCAGCCGGTTTGACCTCAATCGTCAGGGAATTGTAGCAAATTGCGCTTGGAAAATCAGCGAAATGTCAGGGAAATTCATAGTCTAAAGTCTCTCCTTGGGGGAACAACGTCCGAAATCACCATTGTCCAATGATAAGTAATAGGACAAACCTAGGAGATCAGGTACAACAAGCAGGCAAATATTCCTAAATTGTCATGAACCCTGATGAAAAAGAAAAACATAACAATATATCAAAGTTTTCTGTTATCATTTGCTCTGGCAAATTGTCCACGATAGTTATTAAACTACGACCCATTGTCCATTAGTATGTGGGAGTGTTTTTAAACCAGTGTCAGTGAACCATTTAGATCCCATCTGAAAGAAAACCTCACCAAAAGCAGCATGATCGACCGCACCTGCCTATGACATTCGGATCCCAACCCTGAGTATTGTAGGGTAGTATTCGTATATTCGTCCCTTAAACAGCTCTTTCCGTAGGAAGGCCCCTTAATTGCGGACGTATTTATGCCAAAAGGAACTGTGTGCATCGGGTTTGCCTGCAACAGTGCAACATAGTTCCTTTTAGCATAAAGACGTCCAATTGTGGTTAAAATTAGGTTGAGGAAACCTTGAATGTAGCATCATAGGAAGCATGATTTCTGCGAACCTTGAATAAGATTCAGCAGTATAACTTAGGAAATGGACATTTGTAATGGACTGCAATCATCTCCCGCTACAAAAAATTCAAAATACGGATGAAAATATATCGCGAGTTCTTCGAAGTGCAAAGTAGGTTTGTACTTACTTTAAATTTTGTTAAAATCGTAGAATTTTTTTTCCTACACTGAAAAAAAAATCCGGCCCTGGAAGCCGTACTTACGGGCTATGTACGTCCGCGTTCCGGGCTCAGAGGCCGGAAGTTCTGGGCGTAGCACCCGGAGCAAGCGCAGCTACGGCTCCAGCACCCGGAACTTTCGGCCTCTGAGTCCGGAACGGACGGTTTGTCTATACATATAGCCCGTAAGTTTTTTTTTTTTTTTCAGTGTATTTTGCAATTTTTGCAGTGGCGATCGATTGTAATCCATTGCGAGGATCTATTTCCGGAGTTACACTACTTATTACTCATATTTGGGATACTCGTCCTTTCTATAACGCCTTATTCAAGGGTCCCTAACTTTACTTTATTCACAACGTAAGCTACAAGGAACCTCCCTAAGGTAAAGAGCTGTTCAATGAACAACTACGTATGAATACGGCCCATCGCCTTTTATATTTCTCTCAATATTTATTTCACAAAATTGCTCGTTCCGCCTACAATACTGCAATAACCACAACATTTTACGACCACGTGCACTTCCTTTACCTACGTTTTATTTTTTTGTTTATTTTTGTTTTTATTGAATATGATTATTTTACTCTTCTGAAGCCTTTGCTTTGTCATGTGCATTTTATTTAATAATATATTGTCAGAGACATTTTTATCATGATCTCAAATGACGCCGTATTTCTGCAAAATCGTAATGTATTCATTTTATTGTTATAAATATATTTTAATTTTATGCGCTTTTAAATTCAAACTAGTCTGCCGCTCTGTAAATAATGCCAAAGTCTCTACATTTTTTCATTATTATAATCACAATTTTATCTTATATTCATTCCATTTTCTATTGGTACCAAAAACTAGTGTAAGATTCCTGGCTTTTAAACCGCTGTCGTCAATAGAATATCACGAGACTCTAAACGCATCTTAGTTTCTGTTTTCAGCTCCTCTTATCTTATAATAAAAACTGTCAATAAAGGTACTTTGATTCATCCAGTAATGAAATTTTTTACCCGTTTAAAATTTCTCCGCTCGGTTTGGTGCCGCATAGCCACTATTTTTTTCTCGAAATCGTTGAAAGTTCATTTGCATGAGATATCTATTTATAATAAGCGGATAGCTGTTGCTCAAATGTAGATAATTGACCACACTGCAATTTCTTCGTAGTTCCTGCTGTATCTATTTTTGACTTCTTATTTTTTTTTCTGTGTTATTGAAGTGCGTGAGATAAATCCATCGCAAATAGAGGTATGATTGATTGGTGAAGGTTTTTCAGGTATCGACATTTTTAAGCCAAATCGCATCGTTAGTCACTCTTATTCATACATTTTAACTCAAAATTACTTTTTGAGAAAGACTCGAGAAGATGCACAAAAGCCAGTCGTCTAATCCAGGCAGATGTAGGTCACTATCTCTCTCACCAAAGCGGTTCAGTGGTGCGCACAACGATAACCAAACGGTTTTTTCCCATTCCAATGCGCATGTGCCGTACCGAAAGGATCGCCACATCTCTATTCAAAAGATGAGACTGATATGGACTACATTTTGCAATTTGGAACTAAAAATTCCAGCCCGGTTTAAAAACAACGTATGTGCCATTAGTTTCCCTATGCACATACGTGTTTTTCCAGAAGAGCCAGAATTTATAGTTCCAAATTGGAAAATGCAGTCCGCATGTGTGCTAAGCCGTAATGAGGACTCCTCCACAATTCGATGGAGGTTTTTTTAGCGATGTTTGCAAGTTTATAAGTGATGCTTCTCCATTTAGCAAATTCCAATTTACCGCCCCTAGCTCAAATTTCGATTAAGAATAACATAATGACTTCTCAAAGAAAACGGAAAATGCCAATGACTGAAAATTTTATCCTCTCTGTTACTTGAATTAAATTACCAAAAAGAAGACTTGTCTTCCGCCGTTGAAGGTGTGTTTTTATCAGGTGGACATCAAGGTGCCGACGCATCCCTCCAGGGTATGCCCCTCGATGGAGTGAATTATTTTAGCCCACTGAGCCTCCTTTAGTTTCATTACCCCTCCCCCCTCCCCTTCTGAGCCATATTTGTATTGTACTTGAAGCGATAAAAACTGGGAAGAATTTAAATGCAGCGGCTTAAACTGAAGCTTTGTAAGCGGTAATTACGTAGATCACAGAAATGATAAGGCGATCCTTTTCATCGGTACCGTGATGCCAATTATGTCAATATTACCTTCTCTTTTAGCTCAATGACTTTGTCCCGAGTATTCTTTTATCCTTTCTATAACGAATATTTGAACAAATTTATGTTTCGTAGTGTATGAATTTTAATTCCCAATAGTTTCCTTCTGCATTAAATATTTTGTTCATTTGAAGGCACGACCAACATATTGAGCCACAAAGAATGGGCGAGCCATTATCAGAAGCCTGCCGCTCTTTTTTTTTTTTTTTTTTTTTTTTTTTTTTTTTTTTTGGCTGTTTAGTTGGTAATTCGTGTTTAAGGGAAATTTCAGCGCAGGAGAGACAATTTTTACCCGAGTCTCGTTCTACTGAACCTCAAGATAAGAAATTTTCTGAATTAAAGTTAATAACTGCAGGCTTTTAGAAGTCTCACGGTGGGCTCGACACGTCTCTGAAGAAATCATCACGTCATTTCATAGATACCCTTTTCCATCTTTTGATCGACAAGAAATTATACCCACTGGATAATTTTGTTGACCTTAAATCTCCATCCAAAATCCAGGCTTTTGCGACGAACGCTTCTTACGTTTCATATCATGGGAAAAAAAAAAACATTCTATACGTTGATATCACATTTTTGATAATTTGGAATCATCGCTCTAACTTTCGTAGCTCATATGATTAATGTTGAAATGCCTATTATTCTAGGGTTGGTTGAAGCAGGATTTTTCGAGCAGGTATGAAGTTACACCCACTCTCTCTCAATGGAGCATGTTCGTTTTGTTAGTTTTTAACAATTCTCGTTCATGCAGCGAGAAGACGTCCAAACTGAAAGATGGAAACGATATTTTTGTAGTTAGATAACCGATCGTTGCTCACTAATTGACTTGTATGTTTAAAATTTGGTGTGATGCCCCCGAAAGTTCCCAGATGAGACCCTCGATTTTGACATCATAATAACATAACCTAAAAATAAAATTGCACGGACTCAATTTAACAGCTCGAGTACCCACCTCTGATAGGCATATAAATTTTGTCTTTTTTTAATAGCGGCAACCCCGCAATAGCGTTTTTCCGCCCTTAGGCGCAGCGCGAGTTGACGCGGCGGGCACAACGCTGCCGGAATGCTAAATACAGCAACCACTGACCATGCGCGTAGTTGCCATTTTGAATTTGTTTTCTATCACATTTAAAACGAGAAACTCGCCTCCGAACATGGCGGTCTCAGAAGAGCTCCTGTGGGTCCACGCATAGGCGGTGCGTGTCAGGGACTACTTTTTTCGAATGCTGGGGTTAACTGGCTATTTCTCGGGAAATCGGGAAAAAGTCATCAATTTTTAGCACCCCCGCCGCACATTGGATCGACTCAATCAGAGAGGTCGGACATGAAATTTTTTACTAAAATCGCAAATTTTGATCTTTACTTCGTCACATTTTAAATTTAAGAGGTGCTGCTAGCAGAAAATTTCGCGAGGAAACCAATGGAACCACTTTTAGAACCTCGTGGTTTTGTATAGACGGAGTTATAAGCGTTTAAAGTTTCAAAATTTTGTCCGACCTCTCCTACTGACTCGATTTCAATGTGCGTCGCCACTTTTTGACCCCACGCGCCGCTTATGGTTCCGGCAGAAACAGGGAGCTAAAACCAGTGATATAATAAGTGAAAAGAGTTTCCTCACAACGGCGAACATATTCCGAAACACAATCAAAATGAGAGCTAGAAAGGATAAACCGTATCCATGCCGTTTATTAAGACCTCATTAATAAGATGAGATTTTGTCAGGAAATAAATCGCTTAACCATCTCAAAATAGTCAATAGTATCAATGCAACCAGCGTACCGTTTTTTGAAAGTTTAAAGCAGCCCGATAAGACATCGAATTGCGATGTATTGCATGGTTAAGATAGGGCTATGTCTTGGCGTGTCGGGCCGACATAGTTTCAATAATCGGGCCGCAGCAAAGTTTCCCACGTGTCATCGAGAAAAACATTGCTTTCCCGGAGAAATTTTAAAGCGAATCAGTATTTTTATATTTTGTTATTAATAACGAAGTCTTGAAAAGAATAATCATCTGATAATATGATCTACTGCGGAACAAGATTTGCTGACAACATAGGACTCAAATCTTTGAGGTAACTCTCGCTGTTCTGAGTATGTTTTCTGGCCTACCTCGAAAATTGAAGGCGGAATAGCAATGCGTGTAACTCCCATACTCTTTCCGCGTGAATTTCAACCTCTTTTAAAATGTCAATCAGAGAATGACACTGGATATGACTGAGAAGGCTGGAAAGCTTGGAAAGCCTGATGCTCTCTGACAAAATTCTACATCGACATATTGGCACTCCAGACAATTTTTAAAAACAGAGAATTGAGGCTTCTCCATTTTTCAAAGGGATGAGAGAAGAACATATTGCTTGATCCTCGCCATTATGTTACGTAATATACACTCTCGCAACTTTGATATTTTAATAACTGCATATGACTAAGGTACTTATTCTTGTAAATATTAATACAAATCACTTCCGCACAAACCTCAGCCGTCCTTGAAGTATCTTCATGCCCTCGAAATAACCACGAGAGATTTCTTTAATAATTGGGGCTTGGAGGACAAGGCGCAGAATTGCAGTTTTTGAAAAAATTGAGATAGTAGTGATTTCAAGTCAAACTAGTCTTAAAGCATATTCTGTGAAAAATTCGCTTCCAAATTCCAATTTTTAATCATCTAAAAGTCAGTTTGAACTTTCTTTCCGTCATAGGGATCCATGTAATGTCAAAACGTCAAACACGTATTTCTCAAAATAGCAAAAACTGCACTTATGCGCCTTGTCCTTCAAGCCCCTCAATTGGACCACATTTTGCAATAAGGAACCACTATTTTTGGCTCTTTTAGAAACGACATTTGTGCCATTTATTGCAAAATGTAATCCAATTAAGGTACGTACCTATGCCGAGTTAACCTCTGACTCTTAGTTGCCGTTTTTAAAGTTTTACCCTTTCCGCGAACTCTTCCTGTGGATGACGAACAATCTCTGCTAAATTTCGTAATCGATACCCAAGGATAACATCGCCTCAGTTTTTAACGCTGTTTGCAATAAGTTTGCCACGTAATGTGCATGTTGTCTTCGGATTGCCTGAGTTTTTCCAGTTACAAAATATTCAGCATGCTCTCGCACCTTCCCCTTTGCTTTAAAAGTCGGCGCTGCGTCCAATTTCTGCTGCATGACTGAGCACTTAATCAGCACCTTCTCAAGTGCGCACGATTTCAATCTCTGGTAAGTTTATGTAGATTCATTTCTTAAAGCTTTTACTCCAATGTTGGTGTTGGGAAGTTCAAGTCATAGTAAAATCTTATGTCCAGGTTTAGAAAATATTTGACGTAGTAAGAGTAAGAGTAACAGTAATATTAGACGTAGTAAATTTTACAATGTATTACAGTAAAAGTTACACCCGCGGTTGAACTGATTTTTGCTCAAAGGCAAAAGTCCGTTTGAAAGTCTCATAATGTCCACGAACTGCATTGAGAAAAAAAAGGAGGTGTTAGCATTTCGGGCATCTTGGATTTTTTTGATGCCGTAGGTCGGTACAGCGACTTTTATCATCAATTTTCTCGGAAATGGTGTAATTTATGGAAATAAGTCATTCAATCAAAAGTGCTTGAAATTATATTATGAGTTGATTTAAGCAAAAAAATGGGACCTTATGGTTCGGTTTTCATACTTTGAATTCCGGATTTCGCTTGCCAGGTTGTAGCGACCTACGTCACAGGGTAAACAAACCTCAAGATGCAAACACCTCCTTTTTTTTCTCTATGCACGAACTGTTTTTGTTCGCTACCCACGGTTTGTGAACTACCGAAGAAATATGTCCGGAAATGTCTATTTTAAGGTGGTATTTATTTGTTGTGCTCTGTGATGAATTGAAAAGATCATTCGATTTTCAGAAGTTTTCCCGTTTTCTCTCTCTCTCTCTCTCAAGAGTATTACTATAAAGATGAGAAAACACATTCTAATATACCTACTTCTTGCTTGTGAGCTTATACTCTCAGCCTTCTGACAGTATATTAAGCGTTAATTTTTGGCTACCTATCCAGTCGCTCAGATGTTGTGTTTTTCCGTTGTTTTCTCAACAAATTTACCGCCGCTTGATTTAAAAAAAAATAGTAATTGTAACTATTCCAAAGAGTAAAATATTCAAAATAAATCCTTCTAAGGCTCACAATTCCAGGTGTCTTACTGTTTTTTTGGTTTTTTGCCTAAGTATAATCAGCTGCTAAGAAATTGGATTTTTAATGACTGCCTTAAAAAATTTATTTTTTTGGGTATGTTCGCTGATTGATTATTGAGAAATAAGTAAATTTCATGTACTTAATATTTCTGAGTCCATTTCTGAGCGAGTAGTTACTTAAAAAATAAAACTAATATATAATCTAAAAGCTATGATAGGTAGTAATCTCACCAGCAGTTCATTGGGAATTTTTTAGCTGAGGTATCTGAGGCTCAAAGATCAAAAAAAGACTATGGGCACTTACATTCTAAATGATCCCCGATTTTTCTCGCAGAGCTATGCAAACATTTGGACCACATTTTGCAATAAGGAGCCACTATTTCTGACTCATTTTAGAAACAACACATGTGTCATTGGTTTCCCTATGCAGATATGTGCTTTTATGGAAGTGCCAGAAATAGGGGTTCCTAATTGCAAAATGTGATTTATTTGTTCTGTAAAAAAAACTAATGAAGTTAGAACATCAACACACCTTCAGATTAGTGCAATTTTCAGCTTTCCACAGCACGTCCGAGTTCATCTTGATACAATTTTGGTATGCTTCTCCCACCCTCTTGTCCTCATCCCTTGAATTCCAAAATCCGGCATTACTCATCACGGGGAACTTACAGAAAGCTCACCATACCATCAAGTTTTTTTGTCCTCCTTTCCGACTTTTAATTCTGTGGCTTATTTATCAAGCTTTGTTTACTAATTTACATACTCTCTTTTCTTTTCAGAAATTAAAGCTCGCAAAAAGCAGTCAGGTATGTTCGCAAATTTTTGTAGTTTGCAAGTCTTTGAACTGTCTTAAATCATCAGGTCCGTATCAGCGCTCAGAGGCCTGGGGTGCGCGGCGGGCGGCGGGTAAAGGTGCCTGCACATTGCGGGTTGTATACTTCGTAAATTGAAGGCTATCCTCGTTTCCAAGAAAACGAAGGGTCCGGAACTTCATGGGCCCCGTGACCCCTAAAGCCCTAGTTTTAGGACCTCTTCGACTCCTCACATTCTTCAAGATGCCGCAATCACACGCTGAATTTAGCAGCTGAATGTAGAAGTCAACAGTCATCGCCCAACGGCTGAAATTTCGCAAATTCGAGTTATTTTCATCCAGATGTGTATCAAATCTATTCGAATAGTTCAGACAAATCCAACATTATCCGATGGTTGCTGAGAATCGTTGCTGAATTTTGCGCGTCACGCGCAAAATTCAGGCATCTGGCCGATGACTTCCACATTCAAGCCACATTCAGCTCCCACATTCAGTGATTGCGGCAATACTCCAGGGGCCCCCAAGAGATTTGATCGGACCACTCGCAGGGAGGAAAAATTGGAAATAATAATAGAGAAAACCTTTCCAGGGGGCTCAGAGTGCTACAGCAGCTCGGCTAATCCGACGACACCCCCCCCCCCCNACAAGGTGGTAAATATGCAGCTGGGTCCACACTCTCCCCCCCCAAGTAGCATTTTTCAACGGAAAAATCGCGATTTGTTGCGATTTTGTCGACGTTAAAATCGCTAAGATCATCAACATCCGAGCGCTTATCCTCGACCTTGTCGCAATAAAATCGCGACTCATCGCTCGGCAATTTATCGCGAAATTACAGCAACAAAAATCGCGATGTATGGCGATTTAATCTCGATTTTATCGACGAAAATTGATCGCGATTTTATTGAACAAAAAATTGCGAAGCTTAGCGATTTAATCGCCATAAATCGCAATTTTTTATTCGATAATATTGCGATAGATTGCCATTGATATAATCGCGATAATCAACCGATAAAATCGCTATTTATCACGATCACTGCTACTTGGGCCTGAATTTCATCCAATAAATGATCTTTATTTGCGTATACCCAATCAGTACCAAATTACACGTGTTAGTACAGCACAGAAGTGTTTCTTGAACCCAAAGTGTCTTTAAAATAATTCAACTGCCTAGCTTTAGCAGCAATGACCTTTAAAGGGCAATTTTCAAACACTGTAAAAAAACTTTTGAAATGTCCATTTGAGGAGACCCTGTTTAGTTTTAGTTTTTTTTTTTTTTTNCCCCCCCCCAAAAAAAAAAAAATTACCTACAGGATTGATAGTGGACTTCGATCTATGAAAAAGCATGCTTTGAAATAGAAAAGTATAATCATTGCCATCTCTTAAGTTTCAATTGTGTTTGTTTTCAGAAAAAGATTTAGGATTCTTGAGGATTGGATCATTGAATGTGCGAGTGAAGAAAACAACTGAAGCATTTAGCAATTTTCTCGGTAAAAGCCAAAGCTCTGTAGAAAAAATTCACAAATCTTGGGGCTCAGCAGATAATATTCAACAAGTAAGTAAGAAAATTCATAACTTTTAATTAGGCGCCTGGCACCACTCGTTCTGCGGTAATGTATCAAAACTGCTATTGTTCAGAGTGCGTATGAAGTTTCAAGGGAACCGATGGTTATCTGCCAAACTGAATGAACCAGTTTGGTTGAAAATGATCAGGTCAGGGGGAGGGGGAGCAATAAATTTTATTTGCTTTAATATTTTTGCGTTAGGTAGCACATGGTATGTTCATTGGAAAAACTGACTTTATCTGCAACCAGCTATCCCGTCAAAAAAAATTCTGATTCGCTCAGGGCCGGATTAAGGGGGTGGCCACATGGGCCGCGGCCCATGGCGGCAAATCTAGGGGGCGGCAAATTTTGCAATTTTTTTAAATGTAGGTATTAAAAAAATCGGGTTTAGAAAAAAGAATTGTAAACGAGAAGAGGCTAAAAAACCTCTCATTTCCTGAGAGTATAGTAATTTCTAATTTTGTCGCCTGTCAGTGATACAAGAGACAGCATCTTTAATTAGTCGAATCAAGAGAAAAACCCAAACACGCAATTTGGCCTAGAACGGCGTGACTTAGAAAGAAATGATGACGAGGACTTGAGATGAAAAGGAGAAGCCCTCGGCGCGGTAATCGGCATGTAACACATTAGCGCCTACAAGACTGCACGAATACTCCACGCATTGCATCAAACACAGTGCGGTTATTGTGGTCAGCGTAAAACGGATAGCGCCTACAAGAATGCATGAATACTTCACGCATTGCGCCAAACACGGTGCGGTCGGCGCGGAAGTTAAAATCATTAAACCAAATTTTGTGTTTGTTTCTTTCATAATTGTTTCGTTCATTTCTTATGAATGGAAAGCCTTGTCCATTAGAGATAGGTTTACGAAACTTGACTTCCGCGATAAGTTCCGTGACCTTTTGCTAGTAGTTTTGACAGGGCTTTCCCAAAAAATGTGTTCAACACGAGTAAACGCGTCTTATGCACCCCTTTCCCTCCGACACGTTCACTTGATGGTTTTTATTGATGTTTCAAAGCGAATGAGAAGGGGGCGGCAAAATACAGGCGGCATATGGGCGGCAAGTAGGAAAATCCGGCCCTGGATTCGCTAAAGTAGTGAAATTTGCCTTTTCACACTAATACCACTCAATTTTTATTTTTTCATTTAATTTTGTTGGGAGTGTAGAAAAAAAACATAAGGACTCTATCTATTTGCATACGTCTTAGGTCGCTGTATGAAGGGCAATTCTGTGAATTTTTTTGTTCATTGGTTCGACAAATGGGATCAAGGAAACAAGTACCTAATGTTATTAGTGAATGTTAATTTCAAAACTTCAGAATGGAGATTAAAAGTAGATACAATGCTCTCTCTCTCTCCCTCTCTATAACGGCACCTGTTATAACAGCAGAAATTTCTCTGTAATGAAGGAATCTCTGCTCAATTTAAAAAACCCTTTGGTCCGCCTCCGATTTTTTATAGAGAGAATGCACTGTAACTACCTTTGACTTATTTCAATGGTGAGCACTAATTTTTGGTACATCATTTCAAATTTTTTTTTTTTTTTTTTTTTT